CGTTCCCCTCGATATCGATTTACAATAAGCTGCCATTCTCGCTTGTTAAAAAATTACGCTCCCAGTAAGAAATGTGCTCCATTAGTCTTTTCATCTTCGGTAACGGTTCTTTCTATGGCCTCGCTCCGTCGTCTTCTAACGACTAATACCGTTTCATCGTTTTAAAAGCAGCCGTTCCTTGGTCTTTGTGAATGGCCTAGCGAATTTCCACATTGTCCCTCGGTTTTCGGACTCTGTATTATGACGATCCGATGGCGTCATGGCTGACAGCATTAATCACCAGCAGTGCCATTATAATTTTTTTGGCATAAACGGCAGCGATTCTTTTTATGAATCGTTTCATACTCCAATCGCTGCTGGTTGATTGATTAGGTTTTGCGACCAGGAGGAGCAACAGCGTCCGATGAAAAATGGAGGAAATCGTCGGGATCATTAGCGTATTTTTACTTCGCGCGAAAAATAGAACTCCAATATGTTATAGAAGGATATAACTATACTAAGTGACATATAAATCCGAACACCCAGTTTAAATGGTTTTATTTTAATAAAAGTTGGTGAATGTATTTATCTTACTGTAAATAACAAGTGAAAAAATTTTCAGCCTTATCAGTTGGACATTCCGGTTTTAATACTGCTTTTTTTTAATTCACAACGCTCTAAAAATGAATATTTCACCCGCACTAAAGAATCAACGTTGGCGGATTTTGGTTCTTGAAATCCTTTACGATCGGTTACGATGCCTAGAGTACGGAGAACTGTACGATTTCGTCAACTTAGTGAGTTTGATAGGGGCCGTATAGTGGGACTTCGGGAAGCTGGACTTTCTTTTCGGGCAATTGCAGTTAGAGTACAAAGAAGTGTAGACACTGTGGTTAGGTGTTGTCAGGTATGGCTTCGAGAAGGCCGTACGCAAAGCGCAAGGGGCACTGGACGCCGCCGTAGAACAACAGACCGTGAAGATCGCCGCCTAAGATTATTGGCCTTAAGGGACCGTTTCTCCACTACCAGGTCGATTGCAAATGAATGGTTTGCAGAACACGGAAGACCTATTGGCATGCGAAGTGTTTACCGACGAATGAGAAGTTTTGGGTCCTCCCTTTAACTCGAGAACACCGACGTAATCGCCTTGAGTGGTGCAGACAACGGTCACTCTGGGATCAGGAATCGAACAGTGTTGTCTTTAGTGACGAGTCTCGATTTTTTTAGGCATGCACGATGGTCGTGTCAGTGTTAGAAAGCGACGTGGTGAAAGGAGGAATCCACAGTTTTTTGTTGAAAGACATGTTCATCACACTGTTGTAGTTATGGTTTGGGGTGCTATAGCTTATGGTTCAAGGTCACCTTTAATCTTCATCAGAGGTAACATGAACGCGCAGCGTTATATCCACGAAGTTCTAGAACCCCACCTTTTACAGTATCTTGACACCCTGGCAGATCCAACTTTCCAACAAGATAATGCCCGACCACATGTTGCAAGAGTCACAATAGACTTCTTTCAACATAATGATGTCACATTGTTACCCTGGCCACCAAGATCTCCTGACTTATCCCCAATTGAGCACGTGTGGGATATGATGGGTAGGAGATTGCTCAATTTGCAACGTCCTCCTCAGACTCTAGAAGCACTTCGAGAGGAGTTGGTGGTTGCCTG